AGAGTGATTAAGAAGTACGGTTTTTGTTACATTAGACACAACGGAACTGAATCATCTGTAATTTTTAAAGCAGAAGAGTAAAGAAGTATACAGAAGGGAGAATAAAAAGCAGTGAAGCATAGAAACAGCAACTTTTGATACGCATTACGCGACTAGGTTTTTTTCAAGTGACTAGGAACACTCTGAAAAGTATACAATTCCTTTTCTAAAAGTAGGACTGGATTTCTTTATAATGCACTGCAGAATTACAGTCAAAATGATTAGAAGAAAGACTTCTTTAACCAGTGTAACCGGATCTTTTGATACTAGTCTTAGGCTCACGGAGGTGAATGAAAGAGGTTAGGTTCGTTAAGGTAGCTAAAGGAACACTGTTCCGTTGCTAGATAGTTATGTAAATCTGAGTCAGCAATTTATTTGCTGAAAAGACAGCAACCAAGGAACAGTTTATAATCAGTTCGTGAAGAACATAAAGATGTATCAAGCGAAAGTTTTCGAATCGAAACAATTAGGGAAGGGGCTATATCGTTAAAAAGTCAGGACTATAATTGTTTATATTTTCCTTCGTGTTCTTTTTCAAGTATACGAGATAACGCGATTGTGATCAAGCTTTCGTGAAAATTTAGTTTTTTCTTTTCCTTCTTAAATTTTAATTTTGTATTATTTATAGTTGGCGCTCTTATAGCTTGTAAAATGCAGCGCTGCAAACGTTCATAACCGACGCTTATTTGTTCCATCATACATGGTGGAAGTAATGTGACCTACTGCCAGAAGAAATTCCGATTTCTTTCGGTCATATATATAAATATATATATTGTTATAAAAAAAACGTGAATCGATCGGGACGTGTGTCGAGTTTTAGTACAACGGAAGAGGCCACGTTATATAACCAAGTTGTGTAAGAAGAAAAAATAAAATGACAACCTGTACATAGCAGCTTGGCATTAATAATAATTAAAAAAAAGAAAAGAAAAAAAAAACAAGGCTAGCTCGTATAACGTTAAGGATATGATAATTCCAAGCCTTTATAAATACTATAAATATAACCTAACTTAGACTGAATGTGAGAAAATAGCGGACATTAAAAGAAAACAAAAAAAATAAGAGCACTTTTAGACAATACTAGGGACATTTGTAACATTTTAGTTAACATAGCGAATCTTTAGGTGACGAAAAAAGAAGTAAAGGGAAATTAAGGTTAACCGGAAGAAAAAAGAAAAAAGAAAAAAAAAGAAAAAAGAAAATAGAAGAAGGAAGAAAAATGTCACAGCTGATTCAATTTATGAAAAAGGACGATGGAAACTGGGGTCCAATCGAGTTAGCATGCTTTTGTCGGCTTTTTGTGATTCGTACATATCGCGATAATTGAAAAGAAGAGGAAGAAAAAAAATCAGAACTGCTGGCTGTCTTTGTGGTCCGTCACGTTTTTCCAAAATTGTCCGAATAAAGGTCCACTTTGGAATCGCTTTAGCGCAGTTAGTTGTTCAATATGTGAAACCTCTGTTTTTTCCTCATTCGATACGTTCGAATTTCTTTCCCACCCTAGATCTCATATCGCGGCATCAACAACCCAATAATGATTGCCACATATTTAAGAATAAAGCTTATAATAATAAAGGAATGGTAGAAACTTTCCTTCCATATGCCTAGTTGATGCACATAATTCTAAGTACGTAGACTTTCATATGGTGTGTGTATGTATATATATCCGAGAAGATAACTGAATGTATAACAGAAATGATTAAAACAAAAATAACGATATAGACTTTAATGTAAATGTACTGCCATAATCATATTATACGAGAGCCTATGCGAATAGATATATTAATATTATTCCTGTAAAGACAAACAACCGGAAAAACAACAGCGACAAGATGGTTAGCACAAAACAAAACTAGGCATCAATCCGATTGTAAATAGAGCATATTTTCAATGTGTCTGGAAAAGTATGTTTTGTAATATAAGGATTGCAAAGGAAAAATAAAATTATTAAAGAATCATTTCTAATCGTATATATTGTGGAAATGAAGAACCTCCATTTTGCGGAAAATAATGTTACTTTATAGAAGTGAAAAATGAGATATTTCGATACAAATTTTGCAAATATCTTAAAATTGTAACATATAGAAAGTCTTGAAAAAGTGACAAGTAAAAATTTGTTGAAACTCGTTGAGGTAAAGCAGAGTGCGCTACAATCTCAAATATTAAATTTTGAAGTAAATTAACATTAACATTGGAAATTTATATTTAATTTTCATGTTTTTAAAATAATGAAAAGCTCAACCTTAAAATGTACTTTTATTATTCGTATAATGTTCATAACATACCGTCACTTTCGAATATTGATTAATTTTGAATTCTATCAGATAATCTGTACAGAAAATTATACAAAAATACCCAAAAGAACTATCTTAAATATGGTACATATATCTAAACAGTTATTATTTACCGAGGAAGCAACTATATATAATGTATTAAATATACATACACCCACGATCATCGATTTACTTAATTCTTTTAGTGGATAAATTACATAATTTCTTATAAATATATATATAAAGAAAATGTTTGCATAAAAATGGTATTATACGCGACAAATTTAAAAGTCTATAAAATAATATCTCAAATTATATAAATATGTTGAATTTAAATCTTAAACTTCAAGAAACACAAGCTCCAATCAATATGCTTCAATTTAATTTATGTATGCCTGTACATAACGAATTTTTATTCTTTTAGATCAAATAATTTTTAATCTATAATGTTTATTAAAAACATAATTTGAAATTGTTACAATTATAATTTGATGCAAAATGAACCTAACCCATATTAATTTTCGTTATAATTTTCATTATACTAATCGTTTTATAATTTTCTATTTTTTTTGTTTGTTTGATTGGCGAAAGTGTATAATCGATATCATAATACCTATTGGTGAAGCGAAAAGAGCCACATATTTTCACGCATGTGCTCTACCAAACAGTACTTTCCTTTCGTAATCTGTGCGTACATTGTTAAAATACATTAAATAACAGAAGCATTTATTATTAACAGAATCATTTCGTTTCAGTTCTTAATTTGATACATGACATATATATCTGAAAAAGTATATTTTAATCATTGTTTTTTTGTAACAAACTATTCGAAGAGTATCCTACATAATGAAGCAAATTCTTTGTGGTAAAATAGGGTAAGATCATTAAATACTTAAAAAAAATTTGGTTGTATAAAAGTTATGTATGGTAATAATATTCGTTACATCATATGATATACGTAGATTATTTAATATGCGTCCCTTTATAATTTTTAGGTTATGTTTTAATGACTAATAGATTCTATAAATCTTATATTCATTATTTTATTACTAAGTGATTTTTTAATTGCAATAAAATGCGCAATTCTTTTTTTTTTAATACATTTTTAGGTAATAACGAAAATATTTTTGATAGAAATCTTAAATGTTTTTTTTACAGGGACAAGATTGTATTAATTTTAAAGACATCACGATATCATGTACCCCTATTTAGTATACGAAATTTAACATCAGGTAGAATGGAGAAGATTTATCGACCATTATTAGCATCACCACATGTGCATTACTTTGGAAACTCCAATCGTGCGTATGCAATGTTCATTGGAAGAATTTTAAGAAAGGCTTTGAAAATTCGATATCTATTGTTGGGTGGTGCACTTGGTAGTGGAGTAACTTTGCAAAAGGTATTTAAACTGATAATTATTTCATGCATATATCATATTTACAGAATTACTTTTTATTAAAGAAATTTGATGAATGGAAAGAAATTATGCCAGATATGCGTTGGTTAGATGATATATTTCCTGGTGAACAAAAATGGAATGATATTCGTGAATCATTCATGCATATTAAAGATATGTTACCAGATACAATTGAACTTGGTAAGTATGAAAATATAAAAATATTTAAGCATGTGGAAACTTGAGGCAAAAAAGGTTAGAAACATGAAAAATGAACTAATACAAACAGATCATCGTATAAAGCAGCTTGGGAATGAAAAGTTTAAAGAATACGGAGAATGGTTTAATCAAAGATTGGATAATGCTATTAAGGCAGCTGAAGTTAATCAAACTCAATCAGGTGTGACTATTTTTTCTAATCGTGAGTTGAATATAAATTTTTTTATGTACCCATATTAACACATGCAAGAAAGTTTTCATTTCATAGTACAAATATTTTCCTCACTACTGGTTAACTTAGTAATTTGCCTCACGTTTTCTTTTCACCCATTTATTTTAATCTAACCCCTTATGTTTATATTTTCATTACAATTCTGCTTTTTATACATCTCATCTTATAACGGGTAACATTAAATTTTATGGTAAACGAATTGAGACACTTCAATCTATTATTTAAAAGCATGTAAACAATGTTCATTTATAATTATGAATGGATAGTATTTAGTACAATTTGTTCCTTTGTATTTCATAAAGGTTCTAGCTTGTAACATAATGTCATTTCTTGTGAAATATTCTTTAGTGTATGTATTTCATTAGAAATATATTATTATGGTCTGTTCTGTTCAGGTATATTTGACGCAATCTCAGCAATAGTATATCAACTTTATTCAGGTGTGTAAAGTGTTCGGGATTATTTGCATTTCATTGTCTGTCCATTCAGCATTTTTTTTTTTTTTTGTCTAATTGTTTCCAGACAATTATAATATTTTGTATAATAGAGCTCCATTCATTCAAACAGATAGGAAATCATCTTCAGACTCTCATTATGGATAGATTCCCAAATATGTGGTCATGCAAAAAACAGGCTTTATATTTCAGTTAACACTTATTACATTTTGAATAGAGACAAAAGTATTCTTAACTCCTTCAACTATAATACCGTGTGAGACTTGTGGTAAGAAAGTCGGGCCAAACATGTGTATCTTGGGTGGGAGGTGTGGTTTATAGATAGAGCCCAATATAAACAACACAACTCGTTGTTAGTTTTGGCCGTTGTTTTTCTGTCTCACTGTAAGTTATGTATTATTCTTTGTCGCATTCAGACGAAATGTATTAATGTGTGATCGACTCTGTTGTTGATTATCACATGCGCTATCGGAACTTAAATCGCACGATAAGGGCTTAAGTACTATAATACCTAATACATCAATTTTCAGATATGTGATTGTAAATAAATTCACTAACAGTGGAAAATATGAAGACATATTTGGAACTACTTAATATAAGTCCACAAATTTTCTCTCATCCATTTGCTTATTCTTTTGCTTATTAGTATCTTAAGATTTATATTTATATTTAAACTGTTGTGAACATTGTTATGATATAAAATTTTCTTCAAATAAATGGAGTTCTATTATAATTATCCTAATGCACTTATCTAAAATGTAATGTAAGTCTATCTAAAATGACTAAAAATATGAACATAAATACTGAATGGGGCAGGCCCCTTTTTGTATGATGTATTAGAATTAAGATTGATTTTTATCGATACTTTATAGATCAAATAGAGTATATTATTTATCAACGATTTATTACCATTATTCAATACTTACTTTAAACTTCATTTAAATTATATTTTAACACTTCACCATTTTTTATTTATAAACAATTATAATATACAACTAATTCTTATATGAGCAAAATTACATTATTGTAAACAAAATTAATATATTACATTAATATACCTTAATATAATACATTTTTTAATTTTCTTATTTAGGAGCAAAGCAGCAGTTAACTCAAAATACCATAGCATTTGCTCGACCATTGGTAGACGAAAATGTCGAAGACGAACGTAAGAAAGCCCGTATGTACATGTTAGGGCAATTGTAATTCACTTTTTAATTGTTTTTGAAACCTATAATTATGTATATCAATTTCATTCAAAGAAAAATCGCAAGAGCGATTAAATGCTATGCAGGAGGAAGTAATGCAAATACAATTGAGGTACCAACGTGAATTGGAACGATTAGAAAGAGAAAATAAAGAACTCCGTAAACAGATGCTTTTACGTGGCAATCAAAAAATGAGTAATAAGAAAATAAAAGTAATTTAGTTATAATTATACACTTTCGATATAATATTTAAAATTATTAGCCTAATGTTAATAATTTTTTTCAGAAATCTTTAATTGATATGTACAGTGATGTCTTAGATGAGCTTAGCGACTATGATAGCTCCTATTCTACTGCGGATCATTTACCAAGAGTGGTAGTAGTTGGTGATCAAAGTTCTGGTAAAACATCTGTATTAGAAATGATTGCTGAAGCAAGAATATTCCCTAGGTAACAGGAAATATTTAAAGTAAGGAAACAAATTTAATTAGAATTTTCTCGTATCTAAATTTTTATAATTGTATTTCAGAGGTGGTGGTGAAATGATGACAAGGGCTCCAGTTAAAGTTACTTTAAGCGAAGGTCCTTATCATATAGCTCAATTCAAAGACAGTTCAAGAGAATTTGACTTAACAAAAGAATCTGAATTAGCTGAGCTAAGACGTGAAGTAGAATTACGTATGAAGAATAGTGTGAAAAATGGTAAAACAGTTAGTCAAGAGGTAATTTCAATGACTGTAAAAGGACCAGGTCTACAACGCATGGTCCTTGTTGACTTACCAGGTGTAATTAGCGTAAGCGATAGTTTTTATTTAAAAAAATATTATTTGAATAATATTGATTCAATTTTCGAAAGTGCCTAAAATTTTTAATACTTGTATAACAGACAGTTACAATTGATATGGCAGAAGACACACGAGATTCTATTCGACAGATGACTCAACAATACATGAGTAATCCGAATGCGATTATTCTTTGTATCCAAGATGGATCCATAGATGCCGAAAGAAGTAATGTGACTGACCTTGTTGCCCAAATGGATCCTTCTGGCAAACGAACTATTTTTGTCTTAACTAAGGTTTTGTTTATAAAAAATTGAATTGAATTTAGATTAATAAAATGTAACTGATGATCTTTGATATTAATAGGTAGATTTAGCAGAAGAAAATTTAGCTAATCCGGAACGTGTTCGTAAGATATTATCTGGCAAATTGTTTCCCATGAAGGCATTGGGTTACTTCGCTGTTGTTACTGGTCGTGGTAAACAGGAGGATAGCATACAAACAATCAAAGATTACGAAGAAAAGTTCTTTAGGAACTCAAAACTTTTTAAGTGTGTATTTCAAAGAGGAGAAGTAATTATATCAGACATAATTTATTTGGATTAGCAACTTCAAAAATAAGTTTGATAGTATTAGAAGTGTACAGTAGTCTCCTGATAAGCGTTCACATTTTGCACAATTAGTGAATTTATTTACGATCATATTTCTGGTGACTACTGTATTATCCTTCAATGATATGAATTAATTAATGATACAGAAAGATACATGAGATTAGAATAACTTTCAAGGTTATTGGATTCTTTATGATTTCCACTAGGGATGGTTTAGTAATGTCTGGACAAGTTACAACAAAAAATCTGAGTCTCGCAGTTTCGGAATGTTTTTGGAAGATGATTCGTGAGACTGTAGAACAGCAAGCAGATGCATTCAAAGCCACTAGATTTAACCTTGAAACAGAATGGAAAAATAATTTTCCTAGGTAAATAATTTCATACAATATGCTCTAAAATATATTAAAAATATACACTACAATATATAGTAGTACAAAATACTTAAAAAATATATTCAGCAATTCCATCATTTATATCAAGGTTAAATTAGTTGAAATTTAGTTTTTATTTGGTTAAAAAATATTTTATATTTTAATATTCAGGTATTGTTCTAATACTTCATATTTTATATAGATTAAGAGAATTAGATAGAGATGAATTGTTTGAAAAAGCAAGAGGGGAGATCTTGGATGAAATTGTAAATCTATCTCAAGTTTCGCCTAGACATTGGGATAAGATGTTAATGGATAGAATCTGGAATAAAGTAAGCATGCACGTGTTCGAAAATATCTACTTGCCTGCGGCGCAAACCGGAAATCCAAGTAGGTTTTACAATAATTCCTTAGAATTTCTTTTTATGTATATGTATTATTTTTTTGAATATAGGCATATTTAATACTACCGTTGACATAAAACTTCGTCAGTGGACTGAACAACAGTTACCAGCTCGAAGTGTTGAAAGTGGCTGGGAGTGTTTACAAGAGAAATTTCAACACTTTATGAACCAAGCAAAACTCAACCCAGATCATGATGACATTTTTGATAATTTAAAAAATGCAGTAATCAATGAAGCCATGGCACGACATTCCTGGGAAGAAAAAGTAAGATTATTAAATTTTTTACTCTTTCTTTTTTTGAAACATGTATATGAAAAATTTTTTAGGCATCCGAAATGTTACGCGTTATTCAATTAAATACTCTAGAAGATACAAGTGTGACTGATAAACGTGAGTGGGATCAAGCAGTTTGTTTCCTAGAAACTTCTGTTAAAGATAAATTGCAAGCCACAGAAGAAATTTTGCGAGAAATGCTAGGACCTGGGCGCACGGAACGATTGCTGTTTTGGCAAAGTCGAACTGAAGAACAACAGAGACGTTCAGCAGTGAAGAACGAATTAGACAAAATTCTTTATGCAGACAAAGTAGGAAATTGTAATAATATTTAGATTGTAGGAAAGAAATATCTATCTGGTTTTCTGTTTATAGAGACACATTCCCACACTCACGCAAGACGAACTGACGACGATTAGACAGAATTTGCAACAAAACGGTTTGGAAATCGATAATGAATCTATTCGAGAAACGTGGTATGCAGTGTACAGAAGATTCTTTTTGCAACAGAGTTTAGCCAGGGCTTATGATTGCAAGAAAGGATATTATCTTTATCACACTGGACATGAAACTGAAGTATACATAATAACAAGACATTTTCTAAATAATATTTAAATTTCTGTAATTTAATGTATTAAATATTTATTTCCATATTTTTAAATATGTTTATAGATGGAATGCAATGATGTTGTCCTATTTTGGAGAATCCAGCAAATGTTAAAAGTTACTGCAAATGCACTTCGACAGCAAATTATGAATCGGGAAGCTCGTAGGTTAGATAAAGAAATAAAAGAAGTACTGGAAGATTACAGTCAAGATAATGAAATAAAACAAAAATTACTAACTGGTAAACGGGTCACATTAGCTGAGGAATTGAGTAAGTTTTCTAATTACTGTATATTTTCTATAAATCTAAGTAACCTTTTCTTCACTAAAAATTTAATTAAAAGTGCATTTATTAAAATTTTATTCGAAATATTTGTCATAATATAAGTTAAAGGTTAACTTGAAAGCAAAAAATAGGTTATTTTAAATATGCAGCTTTGACTATCCTTATATTTTTGTATTTGTATTTTATCTTAGAACGTGTAAGGCAAATCCAAGAAAAACTTGAGGAGTTTATCCAAGCATTGAACAAAGAGAAATGAAGAAACTGGACTGAAAGTCTAGAATTTTGAAAAACTATGATATCATAGAATGTGATAAACGATAAGCCCTGGTGGCTGATGTGCGAATGTTTGGATATTAATTTATTTTATTCATTAATCGAGTGATAATGCAGATATATTGGTACCCCCATTTTAGAGAAAATGAAAATTAAACGTTTAACCGGTAACATTAAAATTTCATATGCGAAATTTTATTCGCTTCATTATTAAATTTATCGTCGATTCCGCATGACTGACTTTTACAGCACTTTCATTGTATATTTAGATAAATGCAAGATATTATTAGCTAAAATCAATTATATCAAAGTGAGTCACTTACGAAAATTGCAAAACTAAGATTGAAAAAACAAATATTGACTCGTGCAATAATATGTGCGTAATATATTAATACATGAAATGTAGATATTCTTTACGTGATTAGGGAAAATAATGCCTATTGCATTTTACATATAATATACCTCTCATCTCTGCATACAAAAGGAATATATGTCTTCTGTAGGTAGTAAACTGGAATAAAGAAATAGAAACCAAATTTTTTATGTCTTTAAATATTTATTTTAAATCGTAGAAGCATAGTGACAATATTTTCTTGTTTTGTGGTTTCTCTTTACTTCTTTTTTTTTTTTTTTATCATACTTTGCTTAAACTAAAGTAGGAAATAAACATCAAAAATTGAGAAAGTTTAATGACGAAAACACAATAAACACTTTTGTAACAAATATGTGATTTTTTACGGTGCTAGTCACGATTTTGAATATTTAATTTATTTTGTTATTTCAAAAGGTATGCTGTAAATACTCAATAAAATTGTTCAATAGTACTTATAAAGTTGAAATGTGCCTTTATACAAAAGTAGCTGAGGATTATTAAAATACACGTTTTATGCTTAATATCTTCTCGTGGTAAAAGAGTATAACGTATTTTTTTGAAATTTATCTCTATTTTTCGTTAATCAAGAATAATAGAGACTAATGATAGTTTCAAATATATCACAAAGTTACAAACAACACGGTAGAAACATATTAAAAATATTTTCTTCGAGGTTTTTAATTGACGATGTAAATCACTAGGTCAACCGGAAAACTACTTTGCTTCATTCTAAATTTCATTTTTTTAAATTCTGGACAACACTAACTTCAAGATAAAATATACCCTATTCTTTGGTCCAAACATCTGATAAAGTATATTCAAATTCGTACGCATTTTTATGTAAATATTTTTACGAAAATCCACACTATATCTTATGAGTATTTATAAAATTTTTTTATTGATAAGGTTAGGAAAGTTTTGTTCAAAATTAAAGTACGTTTTGTTAATCGTCTCTTCTACGGTAATTAACACCATTACGCACGAGAAATGTGTTGATATGATTACGCAAACGCATTAACAGTATAGTTTCAATGAACTTCGTCAGTTTATAAATTTCTTTTCATTTCTGCCGGCCGTTAATGCATTAATATCATATATAATTAAGTATCTTTCTTCTTCAAAACATATGTGCCTGCATCTCGTATTTTTCTAACCAACGAAGTCGATATAAAATTAAATAATCATGTACATTTGGCAGGAATGTTTTTCTCCTCCATCTTACTTACGGTACACTCAACATCAGAGTTGGGCAAAATTCTATTCGATAAGCAGACCAATAGTTATTCAATACATAAACAATGATCAGCATGAAATATAGTTCTCATGATTATTAAAATCTCTGAATAATGCCTAACTCCGTGATACACTTATTGGGGTTAATAAACCAGCAATAAATAGCGTAACACGTTTATAGGTAGGTCTGTACCGATATATTGTTCTAAGTGTAAACACTATATATATGTATATATAACGTATATATATGTTACATACATATATATATGTGTATATATATATATATATATGCGCGCGCGCGTGTATGTATGTATATGTACAATTATTTGGTAATACATTGGTGACACGAGGCGCATAATTGGCCGCAAATCAAGAAGGAAAGAAGCGTTTTTGTAAAATGGACGATATAAACGACAATTTTGTTTCGTGTTCAACATGATCATGTATCAAATTCTTTAATATATGCTACTATTATTTTGCATTGTCTCTCTCAAGAATAATAAATGTGTCGTTAAATGATCAGGATAATGAAAAATTTGTACAATACACAGGGGAAAACGCTCGTTTGCAAAATTAGATATTTTTCTTGTTCTCTCTGCTTAGAGGTCATACTAGCGACATAGAGCAATCTTAATTGGAGGTGTGCCATTCCAAACGAAGTATACCCCTTAATTAAACATTCTTCTCTATAGTGTGAGAAAAATGTGATTATGTCTTTATCGCGTTACTAGTATCCTGCACATCCGGAATTAGATCAACGGAACCGTCATTTTGTTCAATTTCGGTCGTATTGTAACCGGAAAATGAACATGCTGGTGCACTTCTGGCTGTAGTTATTGAAGCCTCTGGAAGAAGAGACGTACGTTCTGTCGCACTTCCCCAAGCTTGCTGATAAGCACTTCGGCCACGTATCCTGCGACTTAATGAGGATCCTACCACCCCCAGGTGTTCTTTGATATCATTATGAACATCAGATACGTCCCACATAGCCCTAAACATATTAAGCATTATATATTTGAATGTTTTTTTCCGACAGTTGCTCCTTAAAAAGTATGTATAACATAAGATTCATAATATATTATTTATATGGTTAAGTAATCAATCAAAATATATAGTTGATATTTAACAATCAGTATATGTATAACAAACACTAAATAACGGATAACTGTAATCACGGGCTACAATGAATGCGATACTTAATAATTTTGAATACGATGTCTTATATATGGAAAAATGTTTCTTCAACGAAATATAACAAAATTAATATTTAATTACCTGAATGCGTCCCACCATGCTTGACCCTGTGCTAAATTTACAAAAGGTTTATATGAAAAACTGTAGTGATGAGCAACTGCAGCCATAAACATTTCGATGCAAATTAAAAAATCTTGCAGTTTTGACGATATATTTCTGATATAATCTATGTCCTTTGTGTCAAAAATATTCGATATCACATCAAAATACACTAATAATGCAATAATTACACCTTGACTGTAAAATGAAGAAGCGATGTTACACCCAAGATTTAAATATATTTTAATGAAAATATAACTTTATAATGTAAACTTACAAGAAGGAAAAGAACACAACTGCTTTGATACATAAGAATTTCCCGAATGGGTTCATCGGTTTTAAAGCCTCTGCATTGGCACGATAAAAAAGCACCAAACAATACATGGCAACAAACTGGGATAAATTATTTAAAGCAATCATATATGGAAAAGCTACGTCCGTTGTAAATTCACCTTCTCCGTATACACCGTTTAGCTCACAAATACTAAAAAAGTAATTAGTCATGAATTGCCGTGTAATTACATCTACATAAATTTGAAATTCATATGATCAAAATTATTCAATATTCGATAATAATGAATACGTAAATTACCGAAATATATTAATACATTTATTACAGAAAAATCTCCACATTCGATATAACTTAAGGATCAATATTCGCTAGTTAATTTTAGTATATACTTAATTCTTATTTGAGTCTTAAATCTTTTATACACGGTACGTACAAAGATATTAATGTAGTTATAGGCCTAACTGCAGTGTATTGCAATATTCCGTGTTTGCACATATGTACAAATTCCCTCCCCATTTCCCAATCAGGTAAACAACACAAAGGGAACATGTGATGCACTTGAGGGGAAATTTCGAGTCTGTGTTCTAACTGACGGTCAGCATCTAAATAGGCCAATAAATACATCATAAAATTGTATATTACATATGCCTCATAGCACTCCCTCAAGCTATCAACATATATGCTGCCTTCCGGATAAACCAAACCAAGCCACTGCAGAAATTTAGAAAGTACTTATATTTAAAACAAAAAAGTACTTTACTATATAGCTGAAACATAAAGTCAGAGATGTATACCTACAGCATTTACTGCATAAATTGGTACCATCCATAATATCCTAAAACAGAAAATGACGATTACATCGATATCAATACGAGAAAACTAAAATAGTATGAAAAAAACGGTATAAATAGATACGTGTAAATAAATTCACAAATTTTCAAATTGCTACAAAAGGAAACATATTTAGAACTTTACATTTTAAAATATAAAAATTCTAAAAAATAGCAGAAATTAATAGATAAAAAGTTCCAACTTTTTAATATTGTACAAAACATTAATACATATTAAATAATCTCGATTACGAGTTATGTTTACGAAAATATTGTCACTACCATTTTACGCTATTTAAATACAAGTTTAACAAGAAAGTAAACTTTGATTTGTTTCATTATCGTAATCATATCATTTCCCTTTGAATAGATTCAACTGTTTTAATATCGTAACCGGAAATTACATATGTATATATGACCATAACGATTTTTAGTAAAGATTTTATTTATACGGCAAATAAAATTAAACAAAATTTAATATTTATGATATTTCGAAATATCGCAATATTGAATATTATTTTAATATTAGAAAAATGTTTAAAAACGATATTTAATCACGGTTAATCAATTTTATAATTATAAATTTCATAAAACATGGATTTATCCATTGGAAGTCTCTTCCTCTGTATCAATGTTTCCTGACCTTTAATATGTCAAAGATTAATTAAAGATCAACACAGTTTTTGTTACCTTGAAAGTTTCTAGAAAAAAGAGAAAAAGTAGTTTTAAAGTAGTTTCCTTGAAATATGTTATTAGCATTCGAAAGCATAATGTTTACACCTATATAATAAATACATTCAAATTAAACAATCTAATAACATACACAAATAGTAAGTAGAAATTAATTGTAATATTCGTAACAAAAATTTTGTTTTAGTTTATTGAATTTCAAGTAATAGATTTTTTATGTAATATCTAGAAAACAGTATGGCTACTATCTATATCCATGCTACTATATATTACATAACTGAGAGAGTTATATTTTCTGATCAAAATGGTTAATTGAAATCAATTGATCATGAAATAATCTTTTCTTGTCTAATAATATAGCTTATTATAGAGGAAGATGGCCTTATTCATAATTTACAGAGAGTTTGTAGAAGTATATTCCAATGATATACATCTAATAAAAAGTTGATATAGAAAATAATAAAACAAAATTTTTCCTTCTGTTTTAATTAAACTGGAAATTTTAATGAATCATTTTATTAAGAATTGTTCTTGAAAACAAATAACTTTAAGATAAATAGAAAGTTACAAATAATCAAACAAAAGTTAGAGTGTAAGAAAAGAAAGACCATTTAAATATCGGCTGTAAATATTTTTTAATTTCCAAACAGCAACAACTAAAAGACTACATGTACTAAAAAATCATTGACATACCTTATAATATATTTCTGAAGCCTAGGCTGTGTGTAATATATCATGTGTTGAACAATTTCATAGAAAGCAATGGGCAAGGCAAGTAACACAAAAGCACCACCAACCAGTGCTCCTTGATCCAGCTTATTAAAACCATTTTTAATAGAATTCACCAATAGAATTGGTACCAAAATTATGATCAGAAGAGCATAAAGACAAGTTAAAACTGGTAAAATCCATAGTCTCCAGCGGCGACAGATCGAAGCCATCACTTTTTAGAAATTCGAGGAAATATCACATAATTTTTCTTGTCAATTCACGAAAACTTCTGGAAAAACAGAAATAACAAACTTTACACAGTTTAACACTGATTTTTCCATTCATATCGTGACCTGAATTAGGTTATGACAAATCCAACTAATGATCCTCGACACGGTGGATAAATTAATATATACAAATGGTCGAGAATCTAATATTTCTATCGAAAATTCAAGGAAAATTGACGGATTTCATGATTATAATCCCGCCATAGTTAATCAGACAGTCGCGTAATATGGTGAATGGTGTAACGGAATGTTAATAAAATCGTAACAACCTTGTTAGGTACAATGAATCAACGATGAATCGAAGAGTCAGCTGATAATGACAGCACGAAGGAGGGAAACCGCCTTTTAATCCCCTCGCCCCTTATTACACGATCCAGTAACCATTCATATCAATTTTAATATGATTACATTGATACAAACTTATCAGGAGCACTAACAGTAGTAAATGGTGAACAAAATCGTGAAAAAAAATTTGTTCTATAAATCTGCTTGAATTGTCTTTATAAATACAAAGATCTCTCCGAAAGAACACAATACCTGCATGATTTTAACCGTTAATGACTGTTCAACTATAATTAATTCATTAAAAGTCTCTTTAACAAAATTTGTGTATGAGGCAATACATCTTGCACTTCACAAGAATTAACTGCGTAGGTATGAATGTTATTTCGACATTTTTTAAATTTTACTCCTTGAATGACGTCGCACTGTATCCCCGAAAGTATAAAACTTTTGACAGATGATACTTAAATTTGGAAGAAATAGACCTATCGAAGTCACCGGGTTTTGGTATTACAAAAATAAAGTTCCTATAGAAGATTTATTTCCTGTATCCACAGAAATGGAAGGAAAAAGAATTAATTAATAATGAAAATATAAAAGTAAATTACAAAAGGGATGAATTTTGATTAGAAAAGCATCTAGTGTTTTTTTGGTAGTTAATGTTGGTGTTGGTGAAAAATTCGCGTAGGTGGCTAAAGAAGGGTACATCCGCTCTAATGGCGTCAAGACCCAAACACTGTTGTCACATTTTGTCCTACAGTGTTTCAATATTTTGCTTTGTTTATGTCGCGCAAGTTTTCCAAGAAGGAGACGAAATATCCACACGAGCTTGTGAAGGTTGGTACAGAGAGGTGAGAGGAGGCCGATTTTTCCGCTGGAACACAAATCAAAGCTTAAGAAAAATTTTCTGAGAGCTCCGGGTGCAGTGACCTTGATTCTGCTGTCATTTCTGTAAGACACAAGCGCGCGAAATTTGAATCATCGCTTCATGACTAAATTAAGATTGACGGTTCTACTAAAATTTATTTAAAGGATAATGACACTTCAATGTTATTGTATACCTTTTTTTCTACAAGAGATTAATATAAGTAAATTTTACAATAAAATTTTTATATTTTTTTTTGTACACTTTTGTAAATGTATCATTGATAAATGGAAATAAAAGTTATACAAATTATTTATACCGTATATGTTATTGAAAATAATTTTGTTTATTAAAGAAATAAAATCTTTAATGCCATTTTTTTTAAAGATATGATGAATGAATATATGTTAGAAAAAATTGTTGCTTAAATTCTCAATATGTTCACTTAGATATTACTTGAATAAAAACTGTTTATGTGTACTTTTTTTCTTAGGCACAAGAAGCTAGTTCTTACAGATGGCAAGAAAATAATTCTAGAAGAAATCTTCTTCCATCATCCATAAATAAACATGGAAGTCACTACAGAAGAAGCACAAGCAGTGCTGCTAGAAGGAATGGAAGGTGCACAATACATTACTATTCAAAGGGCTGATGGAGAACCTTTAAGTAAAAGTGTTCCTCTTTTAACACTGAATGGAGAACTAATCTCTGAAGGAATGGTTGTTGATATGATTAATGCTGGTGTAAGCACAGATTATAGTACAGCAACTCAATATTATGAAGCAGATGATTTATTGCAACATGAATTAACAGAGGTATTTCATTGTTTTCTCATATAATTTATTACAACATAAATTAACAAAGGTGATTCATTGTTTTTTTTATACTGATATATTAAAAATCAATTTTGGATCTTTGAAACAGGAAGATCGAAGATTGGCTGCAGCCTTAGTTGCTGTTCAACTGCAGCAGCAGCAGAAACAGCAGCAGCTTCATAGTCAATCTCAACATGAAGATCCAACTCTACCAGATGTTTCTCACCTTGAGACTTTAACACCTGTGAACACATATTCTATTCAAACTGTTCCAGAACCAAATGCACCTCCAGTGTACCCAACACTACAGTCCTTCAAACGAATCACACATAATGTAAAACAAGAGTTTATAAATGTGAAAAGCGAATATGATGTTGATGTGTCTGCTGAAAGCAGCGAAGATGCAGCTCCAAGTTCTGGACCGAAAAGATCTTTACCCCATAAAAAGAGAATTCCCCGTAAACTGAAGCAACAGACCAAAAGAAGTTCAGCGAGGAAGGATGGCAGTAGAATAAATACAGATGTCATAAATGCTGACCCCTCCAGTGATATACAAGCTCACATATTTAAGTGTGAACTATGCAGTTCTAGATTTAGTAGTCAATTAAAATTTTTTGAGCATTTGAAGGTGCATTATGAACCTGTAAAGCAGGAAACAAGAATAGCACAAGCAACTAATACGAACATCACAATATCTGTACCAGAGTCTGTCCAGAATCTCGAGAACACAGTAATTGAAGAATTTAGTGAACCTGAAGATCTTATGGAGGGCATTAGGGGTGTTGGTAAATATAAAACTTGTTATATTTAAGATAGTTATAAGAACTATTCTCACAGAATTATCACACGATGTTGCTATTAATTTTCATAATAAATAGTTTATGTACACGATTTCATGTATTATATTTTGATGATACGAAACTATTCCGAGTTTTAATTAGTATATTATATATTTACAGTAGAGGAGACAGGTGCTCACATAGATGATGAAACAGAATCCCCATTATCAACGGTGAACAACGAATCACCGTTGTGGACAATTACCGATGTCACGGATCATGTACATAGGGACCACGTGAAACCATCAACTGTTAATGAACAGGGCATCCACGATAAAGAAAAGACTGACATTCCACAAACAACGAAAAAAAAGAAGATATTGAAGGCTAGGAAAACAAGTAAGCATACCTATATTCAAAGATTTTTTCTTTTTAGCTGAGGATTTATAAAAGAATTTATTACTTTTACAGATGACGAATTAACTTGCCCTCAATGCGATCGGTCATTCCACCATAAAAATAGTTTAGTGTATCACATGCGATCTCACAGTGGAGAACGACCTCATCAGTGTGAAGTTTGTGGAAAAAGCTTTTTTGCTGCTAGTGCATTAAAGGTGAGACTAAAATTTATTTAACACAAGTAGTTTTATCTATAAATTTTATTTATAACTCCTTCGCCTACAATATCGTGTAAGACTTGTAAGGAAATCGGGCGAAACATGAATGTTACGGGTGAGAGCCGTGGTTTGAAGATAGAGCCCAACGCAAACATTACGGGTCAGGCTCGTGGTTTATTTTCGTTGATGTCTTTTTGCCCCGGTTACGTTTTGTTCTTCGTCGCATTAGCACAAAGTGGCTGGACGTGTGACCGACTTTGCTGTTGATTATGTCACGGCCGTCGGAATTTAAATCGTAGGACAAGGGGTTAATAGCTTAGTTTCTTCGTGATTTACTTAATTATAAACAAAATTTTAAATAGTTATCTTTAATATTATACAATATAGAAATTGCTATCTACTTAAATTTTGAAACCTTTAAACAATTGGCAATATAGATTGGGTTTCCTCTTGTGAAAGTTAAATGATTATAAACTTTACCTTAATACTTTAGAAATGTATTTTCATGATTATCATTTATAACAAGCATAAAAATCGAATTGCCGAACTTCGAAACTTGAATACCTCTTTAAACAAGTTATTCCAAACATAGGTTCATAAGCGCCTTCATAGTGGCGATAAACCATATAAGTGTGAGGAATGTGGCAGACATTTTCGCCAATGGGGAGATTTGAAGTATCACTCCACTAGTATTCATTCAGAACAAAAACAATATCAGTGCGAATATTGCGGTAAAGATTTTGCACGAAAATACTCCCTCATCGTCCATAGGAGGATTCATACTGGTGAAAAGAATTATCGTTGTGAATACTGCAATAAAACGTTTAGAGCGAGTAGTTACTTGCAAAACCATCGTCGTATACATACTGGGGAAAAACCCCATCCATGTACAGTATGTGGAAAACGATTCAGAGTGCGAAGCGATATGAAGAGACACATGCATACGCATTCTAGAGGAAGAGCCGACAGGGTTATGAACAGAGTCATAGCAGGCAAAAGTATAGAAGAAGAAAATGATAAAGGTTCACAGGCAAAAACTATTCAAGATCTTGTTCGCGATTTAAAACTCGAAGTGGAGGCAACGGGAGTCGTGGAGATCGTTCCTCCAGATGATAATCCTGAAAGCATTTTGCCGCACGCAGGGGGACAAACTTTAGAATATACAGTGACAACAGCTCCAGACACAAATCCTGATAGAGACCCATTGGAGGCAGTTGTTCGTACAACTGATAATATGTAAGTTTATTTGCTTCACTTTATCTTATCTTAGTAAAAACTCTATAGAGATTTAAATCTTTATATTATTGCTTTTACAGGCAGTATTTCTTCATGTAATGTCTATTGGAGATAAAACGAAAGGTTATTTTTGTAACATGAGGTTAGAGTAAAAGATCTCGTGCACAAAGATGGCGCTTTGTGAAATCGGAGACCTCTGCTGTGGATGACTGATTCAAAGTGCTACGCATTAACGCGCACTGCCTATGTAATGTGCATAAACGTACTTTCCAATTTCTCTGCGAGCTACATTTTAAGGGAATATTTTATGAATATAGTTTAAAATATTATTCTTAAGACTGGTATTAGCAGAAAACTTGGAAAAGTACAAATATATAGGAGTAACTACTAAAAAATTATATCAATTTAATTAGTTCAAGGTGTGTGTGTGCGTGCGTGTGCGTGTGTGTGTGTGTGTGCGCGCGCGCGTGTGTGTATATATATACATAAAAGTGCAGACACATATACACATATACAGATAAATATATACACGCATATATTGTACTATAATTAACGATAATAATGATACTATTGAACATGTACATTTTTAAGTCTTAGGTAAGTTAGTGGTTTATATCGCGAATCGTCGTTGAAAAAATATATTTTTTACGTGAAGACATTTATAGAAACACTGTGGTCCACTTTTATTGCATTTTCCACAAAGCAAAAGAAAAGTGTTTGTAGTTCAGTCATTAGATGATCGAAGGTACTGAAGATGGTGCAGGCACCGTGTTACTCGTATCAATAAATACTTGTAAAAGCTGAGCCAATTCTCGGGATTTGAGGGCTGCGCTGAGCTTCTCCGCAGCGTCTTTGCTACTGATTCTGAAACACATAAATGTACATAGAAAATGATGCAATTTATTTAAACTTTTTAACTTTCGAAGGAATTTTTTTTCAGATAAAGTTAGTTTTTAATATAGCTAACATATGCGTCCTTCAGTTCTATAATCGTTAAATTAATCAGTGAAGGATATTAACAAAATTTTCTATTAATTAGTTCTTATTGTTATAATGTATATAGTGTTTCTACAAAGCCTTTAATATAATTTATCTATCATATCTCTTAAAAAAAAGATTGATATTTTAAATTGGTTCTCTTAAATAAACATTTGTTCTGTTGAATCTGTTTTATTAAATAAAAGTACTTTGAACGACAAATGTTAAAGTAACGAAGGATATCATACTTTTCGTTGAAAAAACATACAAAAGTTTGTTAATTGAAATTGTTAGTACTAATACATACCTACGAGAACGTTTAGCTCTCTCCCAATCGACATAGAGGTCCGTGATTACTGCGTGTAGTCTCTCCAATATTTCATTGTCTTTTGACATTTGAGACTTAATATCAGTTTCCTTTTGTATCAGTTCCTGATACTCTGTGCACAAATTTTCTTTTGGATTTTCTTTCAATTCCCATTCCTCAAGAGCATTTAAGATTTTTACCTTTGTAATTAAATCATGGGCAGCATTCAACTGTGGAAAAATTAATTCCAAAACTCTGGATATGCTACCTTCGGCGACATCTATGAAGATCAGGTAACAAAAGATAACAGAAGAAACTTAGAAAGAAAAGTAATTAATATTATAAAATAAAAACAGTATACCACAAAAGACGTCCAATTTGATTTTTCTTTTTGTTGCTTCTCTAGTTAATATGTCTCTAAGAATTATAATACTTGATATATTCTCTCCAAGAAAAATTGCACTTCCTTTCCTAGAAATTAAACAGATGTTACATCGAATTTTTCATTCATCCAACATGTTACTTACTTATATATACATTTCAGGAGAGTTCCAATAAAGGATGAGACATATGTCAATGTAGCTTTTCCGTCTTCTAAATGAGGTCTTTCAGGAACATCAGGCAATGCAAATGAAAGCCAGGCATGCATCTAAATTATATAAAATTACAAGAACAAAAAAGTCAAAGAATACAAGATGTTTCAGGATCACAAGTCAGTTAAGTACGAGGTGGATAACTTTTTGCTTGATAAATATATTAACCTCCACGTAGCGATTTTATGAAAATTTAGTGTATGTCGGGTTGCTCGATAAGAGGTGCCTGAGACAAAGAGTTTCATATTTCAATATAATAAAAGCTCGTATCTGCAACCTTAAAAAAAAAAATGAAATAAAATACTCCTAAATTCCTACTAATTCATTATTAATTATATATTAATTACATATTTAATTTTTATTAAATTTTTTAGATAATTCGAAACATGCATTAATATGTATAATATTCCTTATTATACGTATTTGTATGTATTTACTATTTCATTTATTATTTTGTACTATATTTTACTGTAAGCACAATAAATAAATATTCAAAGATGACCTAGGGGATCTTGGAAGTTATCCTCTGCAGGTATAGTTATTTCATTGTACTTAATTCATTTTATACTTATTACTAACTGGAAAATTTGATATTTTACCTCCGCGACGGTGAAATTTCCAATTAATTTGAGTTCATTGAATGGTCCTCCATTATTAGGTTCTATGTCTTCGAGTTCGTGCTGTCTCATGTGAAGAGAAAGAGCAGATATAGGTATGCATATTCTGCGACAGCATTTTGGTTGTACCTAGATAAAAAAGAATAATTAAATTTTTATTTTATGTTGTAGCAATAGGAAACACCATAGACATACTTGCGAAGTGACGTAAATTTGCAGAGTACCCGGCTGACCTTCTATAGTTCGTAGCCTCATGTCAAGGTGATTGGTATTTACCTGTGAAGATTATTCGTATCAGCTTGTTAATTATTTTATCGATCGTGATGTTAATTATATACGGAGTGAGTATGAGTCATATTTTTCAAGATATCGAAGTAACTTAAAATTTCTAAAATGGCTCCTATTTTTGAATGCTATTTTTTTTATTTAATCTTCTATTTATTTTTCCTCGTTTATATAACGAGTTATTTTAGGTGATCATCCTTAATCGATTCGCACTGTATATATTTCAATACATACTCACTTGGCAACGATAGGTGGCAACAACGAAGTTCCCATCTCTAGGATTGCAGGCCGACAAACTAACTACTGCACTGTTACTTTCCACGTCTAACAATTCAATGGGAGTATCTGACTGTATTAAAATGTTATCAATGGGTGTATCGAGTTCTACAGAAAGAGAATAGGATGCATCTTCCCTGTTCAAAATCATTCTGCAAAAGTTAAGTCGTGTTTCATATGTAGATTTTTAATTTTAATATTCATTTTTTTGATGTTTGATCTGGTGAGAAGTAAAACCTAATTTCTTCGTTTTCGTACCTGTGATTTACAGATAAGATCAATGGTGCTAAGGAATCCACCGAGAAGTTAGGTACTTCCTTCTCTTCGTTGAGCTTTTCCTGCAACCCCTGTATCTCTGCTCTCAACTTCATCAAACCATCATTTTGATCAGCTTCTAGAAGACCAGGTGGTTTGGTGGTCAAACCAAATATTCGACCTGAATATGTGGTGACCAGCACCTCAGGATACCCTGCTGCTCCGATTATCCCTCCTCCTACTGCACTGATACTTTCATTGGCATTCTACAAAATGAATCTCTTTTACAATTCTGATGGTAAATTATTAAATGCTTCGATACAGCACACCTACGTAACGAAAACGAAGCGATGGTACTGTGTCTTCTTCGGGGAAAGCATACACTTCAACAGTACCATCTTGTCTTCCAACAAGTATGTCTAAGCCATCTTGCAGTTCGTAAGTGTCTAAAGAAGTAACTTCAGAGTGAGTCGTATGCAAGAGCCAAGTGATCCTCAACGTTTTATTGCCTTGAAGGATCAGTAAACCCACTTTGCCATCCATGGTTCCAACCAGAACACGTTCCTTAGATTCAACATCCCCTTCTCTATTAGAAAAAGCAAAAAGACTTGAGAAATATGAACGAAGACAATAAAAATAATCTTAGATAGAGATAATCCAAGAGATGGATAGAGATTAAGATAGACCTGCATAAAGATAATACTGTAGGTACACTTGAAAGTCTGAGAATCGCTGGGGTCTTGGTACCATGAAGGACTCGTATCTGAAAGAAATTGAATTTGTCAGCATTCGGAAATTAATCAATTAAAAATCGTGAATTTTGAAAATTTTAGGGTTTACAGCGCAGTCACCGCAAGCTAGTATAACAAAGACGATAGTGTTATCAGCAGGCAAGAGAACAACGTCGTACAAGGTTTCACCAGCTAAATAGGAGTCAGCATCTTTGCAATCGCGGTATCTGTGACAGAGATCTCTTGCACATGCGGCTAAATCTGGACCAAGCACGTATCTAAGCAAATTTTTATTAATTTTAGAATTACAAATTCTATCTATCGTTAAATATTTATTTAATACTAATTCACATTTCCAATTTTGTTGCTTCATTATTATCTATTATTTATTACATTTTAATTGATACTTTATTTGACACATATATTGAAAAATATTTCGCCAGGAATATTGAAAAATATTTCTATTTTGGTATTAAAAGATATTTAATTTCTACTTACAGTGCTGTAATAGGATCTATAAGATTTGTGTCAAACTCTAAGAACAATTTTCCCTTTTTGGTGTATCCTTTGACAGTATTTCCATGTGCAATGTATATCTTGTCACGTCCAGTACCACCCAGAACTAATTTATTAATCTTTGGTCCTGGCAAAGATTTAAATAATACTTGCATTTCTCCCTTCTTTAGACCTGAGAATTGAGAAAAAGAAGAGAATTGTTTATTTGAATTAATAAAATAAGTGGAAAGCTTTTAAGCTTCATCCTTAGGGAACTTGGTTCAAAAATAAGAAAATGAAAGGTAAAGGTCACCATAAACATGGAGTATGCCATCATGGTCAGCAACAGCGAATTTTTGCGTTTGTCTATGCTCTGAGGGAGGAAATATTTTGGTGGTTCCCCGAGACGTGACACCTACAGCTGCATAGTCTATTCTTGACAATGGCAAAGTCATTTTCCAAGGAATTTGATTCTTCCTCTAATAATGACTCCCCTTTTTAATGATAGTGTTAAATAAAAATTAAATTTGGTAGGAGTGACTTCGATAGGTTTACTTGTTGCTGTACGAATTTTTAAAAAATTTTAATAATTTTCGAGGATTCAAGGAAAAATGAAAGTTGTCAAGGTTTTCCATAAAAGGATGTTAATCTATAATGACTGGTAAGGCTGTCACTGCTTTGCTTATGATAGTACTGCATGTTAGGATCAATGCACATGCGCGACGATCAATTTAACCGTGGCAACGATCTATCACAACAAACTGCTCTTTACAACTATTGTTTAATAGAATTAATATAGCAAACGATAAAAAATATTTTTGAGAAAAAAGAGGGAAAATAATCGCGAATTTGGGGAAGAGATATATCTATTAAAAAGCATGTATATCTTTATTATCAAAAATAATACAGTCATTTGGTGTATTTATTGAACCATTAAATTTCTTTACATCACTTTCTTCTTCCTATCAATTAATACAAAATATGTTAAAAAGTAATATTTTAAAAAATAATCTCTTTTTTCTTACAAATTGACGAGTTATTAATTTTTCAGATTACAAGATATTTGATTCACTCTAGTCATTTAATAGTTAAAAATATTTTTACAAAGATGTTGTGGCCACACGCGGTTGCAGAGGGTTAGTATTGTTTCATCAGCGTCCTTAAAACAAATTGTTTATTACAAATTAGTACTTAGCTGCTACTTAATGCTTCAGAAAGGAGTACACCCTGACTTTGCCGAATTTTTATTATTTCTTCCTGTATATCCATGTCCATTGGACACACCTAACTGAAGAATACAAAATATACCCTGACCTAAGATCTTCCTTCGCTTAGATCTAGATTTTGCGATAACTAGGGATATAAGTACCAGTTGGAATTGAACCCCTCGTAGAAAAGTATTTTTCGTTCACGTTCTACGAACAAAAATTGGCAAATTATAGAGGGTGTCTGCAAAACTAGTCTCCTGCTCTTGCGATCTTAAATTTTTCAATCGAATCTCGGAATAATTATCAACAGCATGAAAAATAAAGATTCTTGAGACGATGCTCTTAAGTATTACATTCATGAAGAGTGGAATTCGTGGACTATCAAATCCATTGCAAAAGCGAAAGAAAAATTTTGCCTGCTCAAGTGGCGCCACATCCTGGAGCCATCTCCCCGATACTAGCGACCTCAGCGGAAACGACATCGGGATGAGGAAAGTCGCGATGATCTGAACAATGATCTCAGCTAGATAGCGGCAACGAATGGAGGCGTAGAGACAGCACGGTGAAGACTAACAATAAGAACCGCAAAACAAACGTGTGTTAACATAGTTCGCAACCATAGGCTGGACGCTAATAGCCTTAATAGCCTGCAAAATTTCCGGGCGGCCGGGGAACGTCGAAGCGGGGGTTCCCGTCGTAGGAAACTTGCGCACTAAAGCCGTGTTTCCAATCGGCGGTATAACGGACAACCTGTAATCTTCCGTCCGGCAGCTGGACTCTGTACTCTCCGCGAACGATGTCACCATCGCTTATGGCGTTGTGAGAATAATCGTTCCCAAATGCATCTTCCTTTACCGCATAATTGAAGTCGAACGGCATTCAATGATGATGATGATCATGCTGGAAATAGATGAAAACGATTAATCGATCGATATAACCAATCTCGTTCCTCGTTAAGCAACAATAGCTAGAAAGGGTGTCAATGAACCTTCACCTGGGATAGGTGCAATCGCTTATTTTCACCGGAAGTCGTAATTAGTTTACGTAACTTTGTCGAATGCTTTCTTTTGTTACTACTCACGCCACCAGAAGGTATAGTAGTCCCAGTGGGTCTAGTCGGTGTTCCATAATCGGGGAACTCCGGGGTGGGCCTGGGTCCTACAGGTGGGTAGCCATCGCTGGGTGGTCTCGGTGATGGAAATTTAGTGGTTGGCTTGGAGTATGGTCTCGTCGTCGAGGAGAACGTAGTAGGCGGTCGTGTAGTGGATGATTTTGGGAATGGTATCCGAGGGGTGTCGTAGTTGTAGCCCTTGGTTGGCTCGGGTGGTAGGTACGTGTTGCGTCTTGTCCCCGGCGGTAGGTCGCATATCACGTGTACTACTGCCATGCAAATTATTGCTATCTGTGAAGGAAGATACAACAGATTTTATTCCTCCTGGAATTTTAGGTGCGAAAGTATCCGCCATAGGTGATAGAAGTTTCGTAGCGAAGGAGTAAACTCGCATTCTAAAGTAGTAGAACGTAAAGGAGCTAATTAGGACTTGGTAGAACGAATATCTCGAGTTCTTTATAAATATTATCCTCGTTTCTTCCAAGGAAGATGTCCTCCTACTTCATCCACCTACTCTCGTTTGCACAACCGCGTTGGATCACGATGCAACATCTAATGACACCGCGTTTCCTTTTGTCGAAACGCGTGTCTGCTGAGTATAAATGCGACACGTGATGCGAATGTAATGAACTGTTAGCGTGTTGTAAATTGTAGCTAGGTTTGGTCGACAGATGTGTAATGCGCCATTCACGGACATGGCTTCCTTTAATTAGGGACTAAAGGGATTGCGTAAGCCCACACTGTCTTTGAACGCGAATCATAAATGATAGTAATTGTTAAACTTATGCAAATATAGCGAACATGGTTATGGTAAATGCAGACTCCCAATTATGAGGCTTGTAATTGTAAGGAAGAAAGGGATCAATCGTGCAAGGATTATAAACATTGGTAAAAATGAATGCTTACAACGAGAAGCAATTAGAAAGGAATAAAGAGACCTGCTTAAAGCGCGGCATAATTGCTCGAAGTTTATTCCACCTGTGCGTATGTGCTGGCAGTGGTTTCGCAACGATTTAATTACACGTCTTCCGCCTCATTTCTACTAAGTCCCCTCGCAGACTCTGGCGCAGCGAGTGCGTGCAAAACTATTTCCTTTGGACTTGTCTTGGTTCCTGATTGCAGAATTAATATGCACTGTCTTACCAGCAGAAGCAAAGCAAACAACGTCAAAGCTCTTCAAAGAATAAGAGAAAAAGTCAGGGAGCATGTCAAGTATCAATTTCTGAGAATACTTCATTGATGTCATCAACTGACCTACTGCAATAATAATTTCTAATCTGATGTCTTATGACATTTAAGAGGGAAAAGGTTTTATCAGTAATGTTGTCACCAATTAATTTAGTAGACAATTGATATTTCATCATATACTAATCTCCTGTGACACTGGCTTATCAATCATTGGAAAAGGAGTAGTCTTGAATATTTAAATACAATTAAATTTAAGTATCTCAATATAGTAACATGGAGTAAATGAAATGAAATGTTATATTTTTTAGCAAGAATGGATTAATTTTATTTTTGTGGAAAGGAAAGATTTAAAATAGTAGAATGTACTCTTTTATTCTATAAGTGAATTGTAGTTTCTTTTGGACTAGAGCCAACTAAAATGCTGAAAAAATTAGGAAATGCCAGGAATATTGCAAAATAATCCACAATCTTGTGAAGAATGTTAAACAGCCTTCTCTTTCCTGTACCATAGCTCATTTAAATGTACTAACTGAAGAAAAAGTTGACTTGTACCATTGTTTCAGTAGTTATTGTTTAACGTACATTATCACAGACAAAATCATGCAAGTCCTCAAATCTCAAATCATGAATTGCAATTACTATGTAAATTACATGAAGCGCACAGCTGGAAGTTAAATTAGCAAAGTTGTGAAAAGGAAATCAGTACTAAATAAATGGAAGAGACTTAAACAAAAGAAGAAATTGTAAAATTTACAACAAGGAGTTGAATACTACTATTTCTAAAAGTTTAATTTTATCCTAATAAGTCAGTGATGCCAATAGTATTTTTCATTTCAATAATTACTTCATCATTCTTCTCTTACAAAATAGAGAATCCTTTTATGAGCATGAGCTAACAATCCAATGGGGCAAAACTAAAAACTTTCGTAAATACATATTACATGTTGTTTAAAGGAAGTTGCTGAAATAATTGCCACCAATAAAATTCATCAAGATCCATATATCAATCAAGATGCTTATATTGAGAGTTTATGATCTTGTTGCATAAAAGGATGATAAAACCAGGAAAAGGTGTTTCAAAATGTCAAACATGAGAAACTTGAATTTTCCTCAGTTAGACAAAGAAGTAAATTTATGTTTGAGAAGAAAAGGAGGATATAATGAAGGAAATATGTACAATATAATCAATGAAGAAGTATTAGAATTGAATAGAATACCTGTGAAGCTAGCAAGAATTATAATCTTCTGCTCTAATCTTATGCAATTTGGGATAAAATTATCATAGCATTAAATATATATCAAATAAAGAATATATTATAGTTTGTACTCAGAGTGATTCTCAATTGTTAGATATGTATAGACTCTGGTATATTGTATATAGTTGGTGTAATTATAGTTTTTCTCCTATGCCTGTGTTAAGTATAAGTCCAGTTCTTAATATTTTCCTTTTATACAAGAAAAGTAGATACTTCAATTAGTTTTTCAATTTTATTTTCTATTTTAAATACAAGGAAATCTATAAAATATTACCATTTGTATGGAAATTTATTTCCATGGAAATTTATAAGTATTAAGAAGGTGCACATTAATCAATATAATATTCTAAATTGTATTTTACTTGCATTAAACTAAAGGAATTTTTATTACACTTTTATTTATGGTTTAATTCAGGCTAGTTTTCTGCTGCAGAGCTTTCATAAATTATTTGAAATTTACTGATAAGAATGGAAGGGACTGTGAAGAACTTAGTCTGCATAAGATTATGGCAATTTAAACTATCTGCGAGATAATTACGCCGTGGCATAAATAACTAGTTCTCTGACGAACGTCTTAATGCTTCTCAGTGCTTTCCTATATAATAATAGTTTTGGAGTATTCTAATAGTGTATATTCATTCTAACACTCACTAATTAGTATTATTTACTACACACTTTAAGAATAAATACTG